TGCTCTTCCGATCTCAATATTTTAAAAAACTCCTACGCATGCTTCTATAGCCCTTAATATGTAGATAATGAAAATTTTTTGTGTTTTGTTCAAGAGCAAACCGTGTGCCTGGAATCCTGTACACCGATTTAAAAAACAGAAAAAATGGTTCCGCAAGTAAGCCATTGCGCCGCCATTTTGTGCATGAAAAAATTAAAAAATATTTTCTCATATTTAAAAATAGTATTTTTTTATTTAATTAAAAAATAGTTTCTTATATATGTACAACAATGTCCTCTAAACAACTTTTAAATAAAGTTATCTATTTATCCAAAAAATCCCAAACTTAGATATCATTTTAAGGTCTCAGGGATGGTACTAACCCTTTAAGAATTTTATTTTTAATAAAATTTATTAATATTAAAAATGTAAAATTAAACACGATAAAAGTGCACGATGAAGAGAATTAAAAATTGAGGGGAGATTGACAAATAAATTATGTATTCTTTAAAGAATTAAATCAAAGCAATTATAAAAAAAATTTGTTTCAATATTTTTCTTTTCTTTTCTTATTTATTTATTTAATTTTTAAAGGTTTTTTAATCTTTTTTTCTCTTTCTCTCTCTTTTCTCAAACTGCTTGAGAATCAACAGAAAATTTTCACTTAAATTATTTATAGAATCTCCTCTGGACTTATCGATGACGCTACTCGCTCATCATTCTTTGCCACCAATATCACACTCTTATTACGAACTGGATGAGTACGAATCAACATCCGAAGAATCCTCATCATCAACGCTGTCGTTGGCCGGTGATCACCTCGATTGCAGTATTCTGACGACGATCAAGAGAGGGGAGAGAGTTTTATTACCCTGCGAAGTCTGTGGCAAATCCTTCGACCGACCGTCTCTTCTGAAACGACATATGAGAACGCATACAGGTACGAAACAAAACCCTAAAACTCATGATTAATTCATTCGGATGTAATGAGATTTTTTTTACATTTTTTACGTTAATTTATTGATGTTTGCTTTTATACACGTGAAACATATGCATAAAGCTAATTAAAACTTTACAAGTTCCGAATATCTTAAAACTCCTAGATTCAGCAATAGAATTTTGAATACAATTCTTATTATAAATTGCTAAAACTTTGAATAATTAATTTTAATCAATCTTAGATTTCATTATTAACACAAAAATAAGAAAATGAATTGCTATTTGCAAAATTAAATTTTTTTTATAGTAGAAAGTAATTCATTTTCTTATTTTTAGAAATATCATGTAAATATGTACTCCTTTCAAATATTCAATTCAATTCTATTCCATTTTAATTATTTAAATTCTAGATTGATGCATTTGAATAATCTTAAAACAAAAGAAAAACGTTTAACAAATATATTTTTGTCTTCATAAACAAATTAAATACATTTTATACTGTGCTCACGTAAATAATTTGTGACGTAATTTGCGGCAAAGTATGCAATTTGCAAAATCGTGTTTATTTTTACTCAATGATTGAAATAAATAAAGCATTTGAAGAAAAAGTATCATTTTTCATATATAAGTCGAGTCAAAAATCACAAAATGTAAAGAATTAACACGATATAATTCAGGAATAATATTAAATTGAAGGGGAGAAACCGCATGTCTGCATGGTGTGCAACAAGGGTTTCTCAACCTCGAGCTCGTTGAACACGCATAAGCGTATCCACAGCGGCGAAAAACCTCATCAGTGCCTTGTTTGTGGAAAGAAGTTTACAGCCTCGTCGAATCTCTACTATCATCGGATGACTCATATCAAGGTGAGTGCTTGGCACATATATTTATTACGGTATATATACTTTCTTTACATCAAATATTTATATAACCAAATATCTTTATTGTGGATTTATCGGAACACCAAATAATGGAAAACCTATAAATTTTCTTCATAAATATTTTATTCTAATAATATATATGAATAAAATTATTGTTTATTCATGCGTACATTTTTAGTCTATGAATATACGTACAATGAAGTAGTAAATATAAGTAATAAAACAGCATTAAAGAGAAGGAAAAAAACTCTTTAATAAAGTTAAACTTAGTTAATTTATTAATATAAATAAATTTACAATATCAGAATTTTTAACTTAATATTTAATTTTGTTTCTTTCGTAAAGATACTTATGTACTGATATATGAATATTACATTTATAGATTATATATGTATAATATATACACAATGTGTGTACGCGTGCGTGTGTATTTGCGTGCGTGATATGTGTGCGTGTGTATGTGTGCGTGATGCGTATGCGTGTGCGTACGTACGTGCGCGCGCGCACGCGCGCGAGTGTGTGTGTGTGTGTGGGGGGGGGTGTACGTGTGCGCGTGTGTGTGTGTGATGTGTATCTGTAAATGTGAATTTGCTCATATTGACAAATATATATTTATATATGTATATCTATATGTAATTAACCTACTGAATTAAATATGTGTATTTATACCTATAAATTACAAAATTACAATATTTATGTTTTACTATTCTCCTTATAAAATATAGTAATTTATAATACAAGGAAAAAAATATTATGTTATCTAAAGCAATCAATATATATTTTGATATACAATAAATAGATTTAAATGAAAATTTAATATATTTTATTACGCAACAATGGTGCTCTCACTGTACAGAATGTATATCACAATTATTATTTCAATTGGATAATAATAAATAATAATAAACCAACTTATTGATAGTAACTTATGGATAATTAATATTTTTCAAAAGGATGATAATAATAAATTTATAAATGTAATTTATAATCAAGGAAAAAAATTCATAAGAAAAGCAAAGCTGTTGACGTGCGCGGTACAAGCACACAAGAAAATTGCGAATGCTTGAATTTAATTTATTAATTATATTAAAATAAAGCAAATTCATATTCTAAAGCCAAACGGTTAAATATAAAAATTCAGGATTGTTTATCTTAAGTCACTTTCTCTATCTTATTATAATATTGAATGAAAATAAAAATAATAGAATAGTCAACAGTTTCCTTTTTCTTAGAAAGCTTCTAAATCCGTGAGGAAAGGACTGTCAAAAAGATTGTTCAAAAGTTTAAAGAAATAATAGATGAGAAGTCTACGAAAAGATAAACAAACTACGTAAAGCTAAATAGTTATTAAAAACAAAATAAAGAAATTGAAATCATTTGGACAAGTGAAAGATGGTTAATACTTAAAAATGCATTATTAAAGAGGAAACTGAAACAAACAATTAATAATTATATAATAGAGCAAAAGGTACATAAAACTGGCCGAATACATAATATACAACATTATGAACTTATATGTTATTAGTGAATATCTGTGACTTACATTTTCGAAATATGCGCGATATTTAATTCATAGTGTGCGTATGTACAATCTCATACAGAAAGCATTCAGCTTTCAACTAAACTGCTACCACTAGCGAATAATATATAATATAATGATAAATTTGATTTGCAATCAATTGCTTATAATTGCTTATAAAAATTAAGAATAATAAAAGAAGAAACAATAGCTTGGCGTTTTAAATCATTGTAAACATCAATCTAAAATTGATGGAATTATTAAATTCAAGCATTCGCAATTTTCTTGTGTGCTTGTACCGCGCACGTCATCAACAGCTTTGCTTTTCGTATTCTGCGTAAGCCTGGTAGAATTGGAATATTCAATAAAAAAGGTCGAGCAATGATTGTAAAAAATGACTGAAAGAGAAAGAATGTATGTGCAAGCTAAGGATGCAAAGTTTTTATTTATCACAGCGGAAACTGTATGAGTTTCTCTAATCTCACCTGAAGTAATGATATCTCGGTAGCCATATAGGTTGGTTGTGCCATCAGCTACTGTAATTGGCCCATTACTTGCTACCGCATGGAATGCGATCCAATTAGAGAGACAGAGAACGTACAGAGCCGGAGGCTCCTCGCCACGTTACTCACCCTCCTGCTCCCTTCCCCCTGTTGCTCTTGCACACGTTCTGCAGTCATCCTGCTGCTCCTTCCGTGCTAGTCATTTTGCTCTGATTTTCCCTTTCCGCCTCGCCATCTTCGCATCTTTTCTTCTCGCTCTTCTTACTGCGAGATTCTTCCGAATTTCATCTTTTTATCTGTCTCACAAAATTCTTAACGCTACATAAATGCTTCAACAGAAATTAGACACATTCATTTAAGTATGTGTCCATTACTTTATCACTCTAACTGGCTATTGTGTGATTGCCGCTTTGTTTGAGTAGAACACAGATGTTAATTTTTATAATTTTGATGTTTTTTTATATTATTATGTAATATAATTAATAAGTAAATTTCCGCGCTTTTACTTCCTATTTTACTTCTTTGTTTAAACATTAAGAAATTATAAAAATAAATGCAAAATTTTTGCTGTTAGAAAAAAGTTGTTTATTTTTTACACCTTTAATCATCTTTTTTAAACAATTAAATATTTATATAAATTTCTATGTTTTTCTATATAACTGCATGGTTTATTCAATTCAATTAAATTATAATTTAACATTAATGTTTATTTCAATCAGCTACAAAAAATATATTTATATCTGAGATTATATAAATCTTATATATAAAAAAGAAAGCGTTTAAAAATAATTTAAAAATGCAATCTAAAATTTAAGCTAAAAGAATTAATTTCTATCGATCATATATTAAATATATTATAAAGTCTAAATTTATGAATAAGGAAATTGGTTATATTTCATTTTCTTTATAATTTTTTATTAAACATGATGGGTACTTAATCAACAATTTAATAAAGAAATAAAAATTTTTTAAATAGAAATATATTTAATAAATACTTTAATGAATATTTTTATAAAGATTTTTAATAAATATTTAATCACTTATTAGTTATTATTGCAACAGACATCTTCTTATTCTTATAATTAATAATACAGATAAAGTATAATTAATAAAACAGAAAAATTCAATTGTTAATCTTATTATAAAAAATATATTGCACACACACACACACACACACACACACACACACGCACACGCACACGCTAACGCGCACGCGCACGCGCACGCGCACGCGCACGCGCACACGCACACGCACACGCACACGCACACGCACACGCACACACACACGCACGCACGCACGCACATACATAGAATAAATGAATGAATGAATGATATTTATTAGCTTTCTCAGCTATTTGCATACATAATATGTAACAAACTGTCTTAAAAGTAACTTAAAGTATAGGTAACGTAGTCATTATGTATTTCTTTAACATACGCTTAAATACTACAGGTCTATCGCATTGCTTCAATTCTGTCGGTATGGCATTATACATTTTTACACCTTCATAGAATAAACTTTTTTGTGCGGTTCTTGTTTTTCTAAAATCTATTCTAATATTTTCTGATTATCTTGTTCGCCTCTCGCTTACACTCCTACTACAACTAATTTATTTCCTAGATGTTTTGGTATCATACCATTTAATATTTTAAAAATATAGATACACATTGTAATACAATCTACGCCTGACTGACATAAACTGCAGCGCTTGTAACATTTTTTCGACATTCGTATATCTATCACATTAGATCGGAAGAGCACA